TGCTAGGATTACAGGCGTGAGCCACCGCGCCCAGCCTTCCACTCTTATTTGTATGTGTATGTGTGTATACACACACTTTTTTTCTCAACTATTTAAAAATAAATTGTGAACATGACACTTCACTCCTAAATATTTCAGCCTGTATCTCCTAAGAACAAAGACATTCTCCCATATATTAATAACCTGGTACCAATATCACACCTGAGTAATTTAACATTGATAACAAAATGTTGATAACAATATTACTTAATATAGAGCCCAGATGTCCTTTTTAGCTGTTTATTATCATTATTATAATTATTAATGATCTGGGGTTCACTCAGGAATCACGCACTGCATTTGATTATCATGCCTCCTTAATATCCTTTACAAAAGGACCCTCTGCCTGTCTTTGTGAATAAAGTTTCAGGGTAATACAGCCACACCCATTTGTTTGCATATTGTCTGTGGCTCCAAAGTTGAGTTTGTATGGCCTGCAGACTCTAAAATACTTACTCTCTGGGCCTTTACAGAAAATGTTTGCTGACCGTGCTCTAGAACAGCATCTCTGTCCTTTCTTGTTTTTCGTGACATTGACATTTGAAGCCAGTTGTCCGGCAGTGTGTCGCACAGCACAGCCTGGAGTTTTCTGATCATTTCCTCTGATTGGATTCACAGTGAGCATCTTTGGCAGCAACACCACAGATGTGATGCTGTGTCTTAAGGACATGCCTTCAGGGGGCCTCTGATCTCTGTTTGTTCCGTCATTTGTGATGGTAACTTGGATCCCTTGGTTTAGGTGTTACCAGGACAAGAACCTTTCCTTTTCCTCTTAGTTTTGAATAACCAGTAGATTTGGTTGGGCGGGCAAGCTGGCAGTATTTCCCGTGGATTGGGTGTGAGGTGGCAGACTGGAGGAGGGGCAGATTGCACAGAAAGGCTCGGGAGCTCAGTTTGGGACAGGTCGAGTTGGAAATGCCACGAGCTACTGGAGCGTACTGAGTTTTTATATTTTCTCCTTTTTTATTATGCATTATCATCTCCACACTGCTAATTGCCCTTGGCCGTGGCCTCTAGCTAAGGTCATTGGCATTTCCCAGAGTCAGTGGCATCCGTGTGTTCTCCCAGGACAGGACTCCCTAGCTGACCGACACATCCAGTGACATTATCCAGCATCTGTACCTTTGGCTGAGATTCTTTTGACTCAGCAGGCTGGGCCTGACCGTCCCCTCACAGGAGAGGCTGGAGCCATAGCTGCGGCTGCCTGAGGGAAGAACAGTAAGTGCCAGAAGCGTGGATCATCGATGATGCACCAGGCTGGGGAGGCAAAGACCTCTTCAAACAAAGAATTCCTGGGGGAGAGAAAATAATAGAGATTGGTGATGCCAGGCAGGTCGGAGCCACTCCTGCAAAGAGCACTTCTGACGCTTCCAGGGAAGCTGTGGGATGTCTCTGGGCAGTGGGAAAATTCTAGTTTATTTCTTCTTTTCCCTTTGGAGTGCACTGGTCATTTTTCTAGTTGACCACACATGGTTGGCAGAATAGTGGTCCCACAACGATGTCCCCATCCTAATCCCAAGAACTTGTTGAATATGTTACTATGCATGGCAAAGGAGACTTTGCGGATTTGATAAAATCAAGGAATTTGGGATGGGGAGAGTAGCTTGGATTATCCAGGCGCGGCCGATGTAATCACAGGGTCTTTGTAAGGGAAGAGGGAGGCAAGAGAGGAAGTGATTTGACGATGCTGCTCTCCTGGCCTTGAAGACTGAGGAAAGGAGGCATGGGCCAAGGAATGTGGGTGGCTTCTAGAAGCTGGCAAAGCCAAGGAAATCCCCTGGAGACTCTAGAAAGGTCCACACTCCCGCTGACCCCTTGAGTTTAGCCTCGTGAGACCCATTTTGGACTCCTGACCTCTAGAACTGTAAGAGAAGAAATTTGTGTTGCTTTAGTCC